TTTATTGTGAGGTTCCACAAAAAAAATACAAACTTAACAGGATCGAATGATGTATAACACTTATATGTAAGATCAAAATCAACAAAGTAATTTGAGTCTCTTTTGCACTGATAAGGAAAAAAGTGAGCTGGTATCGCCGGCGAGACTGCCGACCCCAGAGAGTTAATTTTGTATTCATTTTCAATGCAGTGCAGCAGCTAGCAGACCTAGAGCAGGCTGTCTAGCGTGCTCATAGGCTGCACTGCGGGAACTGCACAGCCTACCACTGAGCCCGACGTGACATCACGTCCAATGAAGGGCACTCGCGCCTTCACAGCGTCATAGCCCGCCAGTATGGGCGTGGCTTAGCATAAGCAGGGCTCGGAGGCTGTTTCTCTGGTTTTCATCGACTGAAGCGAAAATCGCTCGTGGCGCGAGCACGGCAGGTTACGCAATACTCGTTCCCTCTTCTAGAGAGAACCGAGGTTATGTTAGGTAACCGATACCTTCTCTTACGAGAGCTTCTCTCGTATTGCGTAAGTTTAGCTTACGCTACGGGAACCCTTTGTCAACGCCGTGCGCGCCAAGCATCCACTCATGAGTCCCAGGGTTTCCCAGGGAACCCAGATAAGTGGGAAAATAAGACGCCCAGCAACGCGGGCCAGCACTTGTACATAAGCACTCATAGGGAATACAGAGCGGCGCTGCCGGTCTGTATAAGCATATAGCACACACCCATTAGTGCAGCTCAACCACGTAGAGCTAGGACATGTGAGAGTAGCCTGCACACGATGATATCTAGACAGAACGTACATCTCACTTAAACTGACAGAAGTTTAGCCTGCAGAGCGGGAACTTCCAGGTTATAAAACCTGACAAAGGTGGACGGGGAGGCCCAGCCCGCCGTCACACATATGTCGTGAATAGAAATTCCGCTGGACCATGCCCACGATGACGCTCTAGTGGAATGCCTCTAGTGGAATGAGCCCTGATGCCCAAGGGGCATTGCAGACCTTTCGACGTGTAATGCGGCAGCTTTAGCGTCCACAATCCATCTGGACAGGCTTTGTTTCGAGGCGGCGAGACCCTTGGTGCGCCCACCAAACGAATCAAAAAGCTGCTCTGAGCGCCTGAAAGGGGCGGAGCGCGCAGTGTAAACCCTCAGCGCCCTGACTGGGCAGAGGAGATTAACATTGCTCTCGCTATCGGATGATGGCAGAGCCGATAGAGAAATGACCTGCGCTCTGAAAGGAGTGCCAATCACGTTAGGGACATAGCCATGTCTAGGTTTGAGGATGACTTTCGAGTCATTTGGCCCGAACTCAAGACACGCAGAGCTGACGGACAGCGCGTGTAAGTGCCCCACACGTTTAACTGATGACAGAGCTGTCAGAAAAACGGTTTTGAGTGACAGGTACTTCAACTCCACGGAATCTAGTGGTTCGAAGGGAAAAGCTTTCAGGGCCTCGAGGACCAATGAAAGATCCCACATAGGAACCGACGGGGCGCGCGGAGGGTTCATCCTTCTGGCTCCTCTAAGGAAGCGGATGACAAGCTCGTTTTTACCTAGTGACCGGCCGCGCATCGACTCTGCGAACGCTGCAACGGCCGCCACGTAGACTTTAAGCGTGGATGGGGACCTTCCCTTATCCAACAGCTCTTGTAGGAAAACCTAGCAGCCGCGAGACCCCATATGTCCGTGGGTCCAGATTTTTGTCGGTGCACCATTTGGAGAACACAGACCATTTAGACGCATAAAGCTTTCTGGTAGAGGGAGCTCTAGACTGCGTAATTGTGTTCATCACTTCTTCTGGCAGGGCAACGGGTACCCGTTGATCAACCATGCGTGCAGAGACCAGCGCTCTGGATGGGGATGCCAGATCGTGCCGCGAGCTTGAGAGAGGAGATCTGTTCTCACCGGAATCGCCATGGGACTGTTTGTGATAGCCGCGTCAGCTCCGGGAACCAAGTCTGATTCTCCCAATGCGGGGCTATAAGGAGTACCGAGTGGCGCGTTTCCCTGATCCTCTTGATCACCTGTGGTAAAAGAGACACCGAAGGAAAGGCATACAGCGGGCAGATTGGCCAGATTTGGGCCAGCGCGTCCTCGTTCTTTGAAAAGAACATCGGGCAGTGAGCATTGTCTTTTGACACAAATAGGTCGACTTCCGCTTTGCCGAACAGGCGCCATAGTTTCCGGACTGTTTGAGGGTGCAGGGACCTTTCCCCTGGGGGAACGTTGTCCCTGGATAATTTGTCTGGGCACGTGCGCAGCTCTCAGCGAGCACAGGTGATGCTGAGACAACGCGAGGAGGCGCTCTGTCAGAACGCAGAGGTTCCTGGATCTGATGCCGCCCTGACGGTTCACGTAGGACACCACTGACATGCCGTCTGAACGGACTAGAACATGGTGGTCCTGCATGAACGGGAGGAAGCGCTTCAGCGCCTTCTCGACCGCTATCATTTCCAGACAGTTTATGTGAAGGAGCTTTTCCTGGTCTGACCACTGGCCAAAGACCATTCTGCCCTCTAAGAGAGCGCCCCAACCGGAGTTGGCCGCATCTGTCGAGATGACCTTTCGATATGAGATGGCTCCCATCATCACACCCCGCCGATACCAGTCGGCCGCTAACCAGGGCTGCAGAACCGTAATGCAGGTCTGAGTCACTCTGATTCGTTCGCTTTCAAAGATCTGTAAAGCTCTGAAGACTGTGTAGATATATTCAAAACTTGTGACATCGCGTGACTGAATGAAATTGGAACTCATGACTGTATGTTATGCAATGAATTGGACTGCTTGTTGATTAGCCTTGCTGGACTTTGCAGACCCCACTGGATATAATTTATTCATGTATGTATGTATGTACTTTATTTATTTATTCATCTATGTATAGTTTATTTATGTATGTAGTTGTATGTGTGGTTTGTAACTGCAAATGCTGTTAAAAAAAACAAAAAAACAACAACAAAACAAACGGCGGTGTCCTCGGCTGTGAACCGTTCCTGGTAAATCCGCCATAATAATAACAATCGGCGATGCAACATGCGCACCTGCTCTTAAAGGGTATGTTGGATGACGCTCTGATTGGTTTATTTCACGTTACGCCCAAACCACACTAAATAATGAAGCTACTTCAGACCAACCCCTTTTAAACTTGCGTCGGGCACAAGAGTAATTTATCCCGCCGGTAAAATAGCAACAGCACCCAAGACCCGCCCACAAAGTTACTTGCGCTTTGCGCTTGATACTTGCGTTTCAGATCGTTAAAATAGGGCCCTTAGTGTGTAAACTCAATAAGTCATTATATGGATTAAAACAGTCCGGGCGTAACTGGAACATGTTACTGAATGATCACCTTAGAGAGAATGGTTTTGAACAAAATGATGCTGATCATGTTCACTTGTTCACTCTGAAATGTGAACAAATGGCAGTGACCCTGACTATCCGGTTTGACTACACGAACCAGGAAATACACAGTACTTTTCATGAGATGCTCATACATTACTGTAGTTCAGAGGATGAAATGTTCTGTATTACTGCCAGATTTACTGTGTGGATTAAAACTTGTTAACTTTATACCTAATGCAATAAAAAAATGAACAATAAACAAATAATTTATCTAATACAATTTTAAATACACTCCTGTTCATTAATTCATGCTTCATAATACATTAACTTATTTAATACTAACCTGGGTTTTCTGTAAATGCTGTAACAGTGTTGATGATTCTTACTTCATGTTCACATAATGCATTAAACTCTTCCCATTTTGACAAGAAGAATGTAAAATACATATTACAATCTTTTTATAACTGATTCATTCACTATAATAATTCATTCAGTTCTTAAGACAACAACACATTTCTCAAAACTATAAACACATTTCACCTGTTATCAAACACATTCCAATCTTTTCAATGTTTTCTGCAAAACTTTACACAAAAGGCTCTAATTTTTCACCATGCATTAACCATGTCCACATTCAGAAGACAAAAGTAGAGATTAACTCAAGCCATCAGAATGTGAGCCCAAATAACACAAATTTATCAATGCATAAACATCATAGAAAAAATGATGGCACACTTATCAGAATCTCAGGATGACATAAAGATGGCCACAGCTATCTATCTATCTGTCTGTCTATCATCCACCCATCTATCCATCCATCTACTATCTATCTATCCGTCCGTCCGTCCGTCCGTCTGTCTGTCTAATGTGCAATGTGCAATGTGCAGGAGAGGAATGTGGAACATTCCTAAAGAGTCAAGTTGTTTGTTCTCCGGTAAACCTGTGAATATAGTGTTCACTTCCTTAAACTTTCCAAGGCCAGAGCTGATTTTTCACCTTAAATGAAATTATCAACCATGGGATGTGCACGTCTTATGAATAATGTTGTGTCAATTCAAACAATATATTACTGTTAAAATATACATATATGACAATTACTGTATGACATGTTCTCACTTTAGGAAAGTACCAACATTTGTCTGTTTGACCTTTTTTTTAATGTATTCTCTGCAGTCTTTGTAAATTAGTTTCCATGATTAGGATTTGTTGCTGTTTCTCATTGTCTTTTTCCATCACTGTCGATTCCCAAAATATTAGACACACATTTGTCTAATGCTGATCTGCAAACGAGCCTGCCGTTTCCCAGCTGTTTTAAAAGGCATTAGAGTTAACTTTAGGGGTTAGCTTTGAGGTGTTTGTTGCAAAAAACTTTTGATTGGTATTTTTTGCATTTCTGTTATGATCTTGTTAGTTTGCACTTCTTACAAACCTTGCCTTACTTGACCACTGCCTGCATCCTCCCAGATGTCTTAGGGATGAACTCCAAAGCTTTTAATGTGACCATTATGTAAACTAATAATTAATTACAGGTCCGTAGCCAGCCTATTCTTTTTTTTTTTTTTTTTTTAGTGGACCTTTTTGCAGTTTTTCTCCTCCTTTTGTATTTAATTATGAGGTTCAAATACTTTATTTTCTTGTCTGCTGGTTAACGAGCACGCTTTTTGATGCACCTAAAATATTCACTGCATTGTTGTCAAATTGCTTCCTCATGTAACACCTTTGTCAGTCCATACACAGTTCATAAGTTTAAAGACCACACTAACAACAGAATAGATTTAATGAACTTTACTGAAATATTAATAATAATTCTTCTCATCATCATTTCTTGACTCTCTGTCAATGTCTCTTTGCTTGTTTATCATCATTAAATTAACATGAATCTTTCCATTGACCTTTGGGTCACTCACTGTTTGTTTTAAGGTACTATTTTTGTACATTTGCTTTTGGAAAAAGTGCTAAACAAATCAAACTGGCCAGTCGTCATTCCATCTATATTCACATCTATTCAAGCGCAAAGTGAAAGAATGTCTTTCTGAATGCAGGTGTTCACAAAGAAACTATCAGTTCAAATAACAAATATCTCAATGTCACATGAAAAAACTGGTTTAAGCTAATGTTGAGAAATTACAACTAGTTCCAGTAAAGGTCCACCTACAGGTATTAAAGGCACTGATGAGATTGTGAGATCTGCAGTTCAGCATCACTGTGTTGAACTACTGAAGAGAGAATCTCATAGACCAGTCATCAATCTGAGATTGCTCTGCAGCCGATCTGACCTCAGGTAAAGTTACTTCTGTTTTATCCCATTGGTCACCAACTTTGGATGGATCCAAATTATTTTGTAAAGTTTGGCTGTTGTCTTTTGTAAAAATTTGCCTTTAAGTATCTGTGAATGTTATGGTTGTTTTACAAATGTGCACAACAAAGAAAGAATAAATGCACCAAAATATAAGAAACACATTTCATGTGTGTGTGTGCAGGTGCTGTTCGTCACAATGAGGTTTCTGATCTCACTGTGTGTGTCGCTGCTGCTGATTAATGGTGAGTCTTTTATAATCATATAAAATGACTGATTTTTTTTCACAATAATAAACAATTATGCTTATATTGTGTATTTAACAGGTGAACTAACCGATGGACAAACAACAGGTACAATCATTCTTTCACTTCATCCAATCTTCAATTCATCCTTTGTTTTTCATTAAAAATGTTGAAATAAATGTAGTAGAAATAAATATAAAAGAGTTTTCCAATTGATTTAAAACCTTCTCATGTTTTAGCACTTTCTTACACATTGATTTTCACAGGAGACTCCAAAAGAAAAAAAAAGTGTATTTGGAGTCACAAGAGATTAGGCTATTACTAAATAATTTTTTAAAATATACATTTATATATATATATATATATATATATATATATATATATATATATATATATATATATATATATATACATATATATATATATACGTATATATATATCAGTCATTATAGCGAAACAAATCCCTCGCAACACACTCATGTCATTTCAATCCAAATGCATTAAATAAATAAATGTCTGACCATCTTTATTTCTCACAATTGTGACTTTGTTTCATATGTTTTATCTCACCTGTGCAGGTAAATATATTTACATGTGTCCTCTGTATATGTAAGTTGTTTTTTATGTAATAGTCTATTCTTTTTTTTTTCTTAGTTGAAAGTACTACTGTTATACCAGAGACAACCACAATCGTAACCACGGAAACTACAACCACAGACATAACGACTGGTAATAAAATGGGCTATATTATTCTGGAAGATTATGTATTTATTTAGGAGGCTTAATATGTCATATAAAACCTATGGTATATAGGAAATTACATATAAAATGCCATGTGTTGCAGTTGCATTTTATTTTGCATTTGTAAGATATTCCAAAACTATAATTTGATGTATATATATATATATATATATATATATATATATAGAGAGAGAGAGAGAGAGAGAGAGAGAGAGAGAGAGAGAGAGAGAGAGAGAGAGAGAGAGAAAATTAATATGGTACATTTTTTCCTATTGATAAAAAAAACATCTCTTAATATTTCAGCACAAATGGATATTGACTGTAAAAAAAAAAAAAAATCCTACGCCAGCTCAGGAGGTGGTGTACGCACGTTTTGAGTTAGTGCGGAAATGTGCAGAAAAACAATTCCCAACACCACAAAACGCACTGACAAACTAAAAGATATTATATATTATGACCCACAGTAAAAAAAACAACAACAACATAGTAATTATAAACTTCAGTGTTTATTTTTGTGCAACATGGACTTCAATGTTTAATTTGTGTGACTTTACCAAAGCATTTGATTTGTAGCCATATGTATTCCTTCAGTTGCGAGCCTGTGCGCTTTACCCTGACGTTTCATGGTTTGGCCCGGCAGGTGCGCACGGACTGAGTTCGGTAACGAAAGGCTTTCAATGACCAAACAATAATTCAGACTGACAAAATAATAAAAAATACATTCTTCTTCTTTTAAATAATAATAATAATACAAATAATAATAATGTCATTCTTCTTCTAAATAACAAAAAGCGTCATTAATAATACAAATCATACTAATAATAAGAAGAATATTACAAATTGTCATGCAATTATTAATGTGAATGAATGGTACTCCACATCACATCATCACTATTGTACACCCCAATACATGTAACGTGATTCGAAATTGAATGCAAATCATAGACTGTAAGATGCTAATTCAAAAGACGTGCTGTAAAATAATGCATTGTGATAGGTCATTTCGGCTCCACGTCAGAGAAGTTTCTCTTCTTTGCCGTCTTCCGTGTGTCCATGGCGTAAAATGAGGGCGTGGGGGAAGCGGAGACTTGAATACATAGGGGCGTGTTATTCTAATGACGATCGTTTTCAGCCGCGGGATTTATCAAGGTCAGGCATTGCGTACACCTGGATTTCAAAGGTACGCACAGCTTCATAAATCAGGCGGTGAGAGGAGTGTGTAAGCATAATCTTACGCCAACATATACGCCCGTTTCTATGCAAGAATGATAAATGAGGGCCAATGAGTGAGAGAAGCGTGCCAAAACTGGAAGCGCAGGTAAAAGAAAGACGCAACTGTACAAATCGGGTTATTGCGGGAACTTTCCTGCCACATGCACACAAGTCAACTAGACATTTGCAACAGTTTATTTTTTTCACAAAGTTTGATTTTACGCAATTAATATGTTTTGCAGTTCCTGCCTCTGCTGTTTTTACACTTGAAAGGCGATTTACACCTTTACAAATATTATCTTGCGCATGAAAATTTAATTTACGCTTGCAATCTTATGTACAATTTCACAAATCTAACCCTGCGATTCTTTATGACATCATATTATCTTCATAGTATAATACTCGTTGTGTTATGTGTAGTAAGTTGAAGTTCATGATAAATCATGAGCTGGATTTGGTAGTTAACAGTGAATTAATAATGATTGGGCCCCCTCAAGTAAAGTCTTATCTTTATCATTAACTTACTATAAAATAGGCTACACATGTACTAACACAAACGTTCCCTGGGTATGTTCCCAGTTTGGTCGTTCTTTTGGAAACTGTTCCACAAATAGGCCTATTCTTGGTGGGTTTAGAATTTGTATTTTGTATTCAGCTGCATAAGTCACAGTATAGGGTGAGTTTCAAGGGAAAGAGAACAACACAGATAAAGACCCTTTAAGGTCAGTTATTAATGTGTTTTCAAAGGTTGAAGAGGAGAATCAACTAATCCTGTGCCATTCAGTAATGTTTATGATAAAGTTGCAATCAAAAGTTCAAGCTAATGATATTAAATTATTTCAAAGTCAGGGTCATTTTTATTCCTTCTTAAAGAGACCGATTGATTTGGTTTATCCATAAATGTTAATTAATGCAATAACTATCAAACATGCTGTTTTTCATGCCATTATTCATGGCTGAATCCATAATGACTCCAATCGGTGTTAAGGATAGCTCTTCATTGGTTAAATGATGATTAGTTCAGACTTTTAATTATCATTAGTTCATGTTGAATTAAGTTTTAATTCAGGTATTAGTACATGGTTATGAATGTACCCTTATTTTAAAGTGTTACCTAAATTGCTTTATTTTTGTCCTTGCTAATAGAGAAGTTAGACACTTTTTTTCCAACAGAAGATGCAATGTGTCGTTAGTGTTGAGTGAGGTAACATCCATTTCAAGTGCACGCTTGTAAGCAACGTGAGACTGGATGCACTGAAAAGCCCTCGCGCTACCCATATGCTGAGATAGATAGACAGTAGAGCTGCTCGATTCATATTTCAAATACTCCATTCAAACACCCACGCACCTTAAGCAGATGTCTTAACAAATGTAATCTTCTTCCAAATTGTCTATAAAACCTTTGACAAAATCATATAGCAACATTCAAATCTGTGTTGGCGCTGCCTGCCGCTGACCCAAAGAGAAATGGAATCTCATGAAATGGCTTCACAAAAGGGCTTTTCAACCTCATAGGCTAATACTAAAAAAAATGTTCTGTGATACAATAGTTCAAATGATCATATAATTACTGTGATAAAATTTTAAAGTTCAAATATAAACACTGATGTATATGGTAGCAATCAAAATAGAGTAAATCAGAAACTTGGCGCTTAGTAAAATAACAAATTTTTCAATTACATTGTTTCACCATTAGGTGGCGACAATTGAGTGTTCAAAAATGTATTTGTTATTTAATCATTTATCCAAGAGAATGTAGACTCAGTAGACTTTGTATACTTTTGTAAATATGACAAAACGGTGGTACCAATTTAACATATTTACTGACATCAAAATCAGAATGCACTGTACCAGAACCAGCTGAACTTGTATCATGAGAGGCCGGCTCTATTGCTTCTCCCAACTCATCTAATTGTTCTGGCAGAATAGCTGCCTCCACCAACTGCTAGCACAACTCAGCTTTGATGACTTGCTTTCTCGCCATTCTAAAAACTTGCATATTAAAAAAGTCACAAAGCTTCTCGCAGGGAGACATGTTTAGCAACGTGCAGACTAACCCATGGCCACTGCGGTGGCACCGTGGCAGAGATATCTGCTCCTGGACTGCCAGTTCTCGACAGTGTCGCCGAAGAGGCCACTTTGCAAGATTTGAGCAAAGAGAAAGCTAGCTTTGTCAACATCTCAAATCTCCGCAAGGTATAGACCTTATTCGCCAGAGAAACGAGGGCGCCGCCATCTTTAGAATATTGTCTTTGAACTTCCGTTTCTGCGGTCGCTCTGTATATTTCTATGGCATCGCTGTCCAGGAGTAATTAGCTTTTGAAGTGGATTTACTTAATGTAAAGTTAACGAAAGTTATCATGAGGATTGTAATGTTTAAAGCAGATGTCTTAACAAATGTCAGTAGACCGGGAAGGTTTTTAAAACAAACCGTTCATTCATAAATACGCAAGATCGCTGTGAAAATACAGACCGGAAGACAAAAGACAACGAGTGCAGCTCAGAAAAGGGGCGGGGCTACATAAGGTCTATAGTGCCTTATAGGAAGCGAATCACCGTATGCGCCCTCACACCAGCATGAGAGATCTCCTGATAAACAAACTGTTTTAGCAATTAAAATGGCTGTTATGCCTGTCTGCACAGGAATCCATTTCAGTTTAAGGACGACTGGAATGAGCTGATCACAATTGCTCGGCTCTGAAGCAAAATATGAATGAAGTCAGTAATGCTGGTCATATGTATGACCCGGCAAGCAAATCTCATTGCCCCAATATCCAGTGGCTCGTTTATTCACCACTTGAAGGTGATTGGGCTCAAAAAAACAAAAAAACAATCATGTTTTAAAGAAGAAAAAAATAGACCGCTGACTTTCATAGCTGCTGCATAGAAACGACCTCCGAGTAAGTTTTCGAGACATTTTCAGTGGAGTGAAAAGTACAAAATTTGTCTTTCAAATGTAGTGAAGTTAAAGTCATAAGTTTCCAGAAATAAATAATACTCAAGTAAAGTACAGATACTCAAAAAAGTGTACTTAAAGGCACACTGTATCGTTGAGTCATGCATATAACTACTGTTCCCAGAAGGAGGGAAACAAGGAACAACACGTGACTAAGGGATATCGCGCTCTAGCGCCATCTGCTGAAGACACCTTTATTCATGCCTGAAAGGCCAATGACGCATGACGATGTGAGCGGGGCCACATGCCCACAGCATATAAATGCAGTCGAA